ATAAAAATTAATACAAATATTGAATAACATCTCCGTCACACTTATAATAATAATAATAATAATAATAATAATAATAAAAATAATAATATTAATAATGATAGTAATAATAATAATAATCATTATTAATATTAGATTATTGGCACAATAATGATACAATATACCTTTCGGTCCACTTGGTCCCCATGCACCTGTAATAATTAAAATTAAACAGGCGTCAAATTTATAATAATACTTAACACAAATCTTGAATAACATCTCCATCACATTAATAATAATAATAATAATAATAATAATAATAATAATAATAATAATAGTAATAATAATAATAATTATTAATACTAGATTATTGGCAGAATAATGATACGATATACCTTGCCGTCCATTTGGTCCCCTTCCACCTGTAACGATTAAAATTAAACAGGCGTCACATTTATAATAATAATAATAATAATAATAATAATAATAATAATAATAATAATAATAATAATAATAATAACAATAATAATAACAATAGTAATAATAATAACAATCGTGTATTCATTTATTCATATTTTAAGAATACTGAACATAATAATTATTAATGCAAATCTTGAATAACATCTCCGTCACATTTACAATAATAATAATAATAATAATAATAATAATAATAATAATAATAATAATAATAGTAATAATAATAATCGTATATCCATTCATTCATATTTTTAAAATAATGAACATAATCATTATTAATACAAATCTTGAATAACATCTCTTAACCCCTCGAATAAAGCCGAATTTATCACTAAAACGGTCTTACTAAAGTCATTCCTTTAAGAAGACCATTGCTATAAATCAGTCTTTCCTAAGATCGCTTTGAGTTTTGAAATGCAAACAAGCACTCCCTGGTAACGTAAGATTGAGGGCGACGTCATGCGTGCTCGTTCACCCAAATGTATCAAAATGAACGTAAATAAACGCCGTAGACCTATTTTTACAGACGCTAAGAAGTGTGCGGAGTATTCATCCTTCGATACTCCGACTTTGAATTAATTAGCAGAACACCATGATGAAAATAATTTATGACCGTTTTAAGCCTTCTCCGAGTAGGCTTTAAAATTTAAGACGGCTAACTGGTTAGACAGCGGTATAGCGGTATGGTCTATAATCATAGACCAGTAGTGACGTCACGATTATAGCCGGCTAACCGTTAAGACCCGACAAAGACCGCTTATAGCAATCCGCCCCACGGGCGGATTGATGTAAAACGGTCTTAACTGGTAGTCTTAACTCCAACGAACGAAAGATTGACTTATAATAATAATTATTAATAATAATAAAAATAAATAATAATTATTATAATATTGTAAAATAATTATAATAATAACTATAATAATTATAATTATTATTGTAATAATTACTGCTAATAATTATACTTATAATAATTGTTATTGTAATTTTAGTAATTATAATAATAATTATAATAATATTTATAATAATAATTATAATAATTATAGTGGTTTATAATAATAATTATAATAATATTTATAATAATATTTATAATAATTATAGTGGTAATTATAATAATAAAAATAATTTTAATAATAAACAATATATAGTGAATATTTTAACAATCTAGATTATTGTCCAAAAAAAAAGTATGATATACCTTGCGGTCCAATTTGTCCCCTTTCACCTGTAATGAAAAAAAATCAAATAGCCGTCACATTTATAATAATAATAATAATAATAATAATAATAATAATAATAATAAAATAATAATAAATATCCATACAATCAGTCAATCACATTTTCAAGCTCTGTTTTTATTTATCCTTTTGTTAAATTTCTATTGCCTTGCAGCAATTTTTTTTATTGTGTATGTATTGTGTGTGCTTTTGTGTAAGTGTGTATGAGTATGTGTGCATACTTATATATAATTACATATGTACATATAATTATATATATAAATACTTTTATATGTACATATGTATATATACATATGTAGAGGTATATACATACATAATGGGGCCTTTCAGGTCGTCATCGAGCGAAATCCTATGTGGTCGTGAAGAACCAATTATAATTTGTACATGGAATGTAAGAACCATGAACAGAGGATACAAAATGGAAAACATCAAAAGAGGGATGGTGAAAGAAAAACATTTGTATCATTGGCCTTTGTGAAACCAGATGGTCTGGTCAATGTGATATTGTAAAAATGTGTATTGTGAATTATGGATAATATCTATTCAGGAGGTGAATAGAAAGAATATGGAGTTGCAGTAGTACTAGAAGAAGTGGCTAAATGTGTAACAGGAGTAGAATGTTTATCAAACAGGCTTTTAATAGTAATGCTAAAAGGAATACCTGTAGATATAACTACCATACAAGTATACATGCATACTACCACATATGAAGAAGTTGATGAGATGTATGACACGATAGATGATATTATAAACAGGAGAAATTACATCGTAGTCATTGGAGATTGGAACAATGTAGTTGGGAGAAAGTAGAGAGAGGGAATAGAGTAGGAGAATATGGACTGGGAAAAAGAAATGATGGGGCCAGAAACTTGTTGAATTTTTCAAAAGGACCAAATCTTTTCTTACAAATACGTGGTACAAACATCATAAAAGAAGGCGGTACACCTGGACAAGATATGGAAACACGGACGATTCCAGATAGACTACATTCTGGTCCAACAAAGATACAGAAATAGTGTACATAATTCAAGAGTATACCCGGTGCTGACATTTACTCTGATCACAATCTGGTGAAGATGGACATAGTGTTAAGATTAAGGTGCTCTGACGAACCAAATACAAATTTTGACACAATGTAAATGCTGCTATTATGCTAAAGGAGAATAATGGAAACTGCGATCTATGGAATAACATTAAAGAATCTATCAAGAAAGGAGCAGAAGATAGTATTAGAACTTTAAAGAGTAAAATAATTAAGGAACCAGTGAAGTGAAGAAACATTATTTTTTCTATTTTTATTCAAATTTTAAACTCATCTCATCGGATGTTGCCATGCGAGCAGAGGCATGTGCTAGGTAGAGGCCTCGACCAGTGTAGGACCATAGAGATATTTGTAGGACCGGTTCGGACTCCTTGAACAAGTTAGGCCGCGATATATTTGTATGGAACGCCAAGTAGGCGCAAGGCTGTGTATGCTGTTCATGTGTGTGTGGTTAATCTATTGCTGATACAGTATCCATTATTTCGTGTTTTATGCTGCCAAATAATTAATGTGGTTTTAAGATCCGTTGTGGAAAGTGGGTGGGGAGGCGAATAGCAATATAAGGAAGTCTTTGACCTCAGGCCAAAGCTTTGGCTGGGGGCCGCTAGGCCCCCGGTGGGGGTCCAGGGGGCGAGGCCCCCTGGAAGCCACGGATATTTGATGAATTTTTATTACTTATTTGATAGGCATCGAGTTACTATAATATGACTTCATGTAGGCTATGCTTTCTAATGTTAACATCAGCTTCCAAAACCAAAACATTTTGTATAAAGCAAGAAACAAAGAGTATGCAATGTAACCATCGAATTTATTTTCAAATCCTCATTCTTGAAAGTGAAATTCTATATTTTGGAAATTTTGCATGAAATCTGTCAACCACATGGTCGCGGTTGCTTCACCTATCACGATGTATTCCAACCAGCATGAGGCTATCTATATGAGCATTTGTGATAACAGAACGCAAATTATTTTTAATTAGTCTCATTGAATTATTATTATTATTATTATTATTATTATTATTATTATTATTATTATTATTGTTGTTGTGATGAAAATTTAACACAAACGATATGGTGGCTAAACGAATAGTACATGAAAATATTTTTTTTTATTTGTTTGTTCCCGACAAAATTTATCGTCTTCCCAGACGGGGGGGGGGGGGGGGCTATGTTTCCCCGCCCC